AGCCGTAGCACGTGCGCCGGCGAGCAAGCTCCGATGGGGAGAGCTCGAAGAGGACGACGGCGAGGATCTGGACTTTCTCCTGCCGCCACGTGCCGTGGAGGGGCCCGACGAGAACGGGATCAAGAGGACGATCGAGTACAAGTTCAACGAAAAGGGGGAGAAGGTGAAGATCACGACCCTCACGCGCGTGAGAAAGCTGGCACGTGCGAGGCTGAGCAAGAGCGCGGTCGAGAGGAGGTCGTGGGCCAAGTTTGGGGACGCGGCCCACGAGGAGGCAGGTAGCAGGCTGACGATGGTGTCCACGGAGGAGATCATTCTTGAGAGGCATAGGGCACCAGGTTCGATCCTAATTTTTTTTTTCTTTTTTGGGATTCTGTAGTAAAACGAAACCCTAATTCTTAGACCTGAGCGAAGTCAGTAAGTTGATTGCCTGACGATTGGCATGTGTTTAAATTGAACACACAAAAAATTGTGGAAATTGATTTGAATTTATTCAGATTATAAGGTAATTACATATAGAAGGGCTTATCATTGGTATATAGTAAAATCCTCCTTCTTAGATTGTTTGGAAAATTAGTCGGAATTTATTTGTTGAGGCCTTTCAGAATCATATTTAAAGTTAAAGAAACTGTCGCGAAGTGGATTACTCTTATTTTCGAGATCGGTCCTTAAATAAAAGAGAGAACTTTAACTTAACAAAGTGAAATTGAGGTACATCATGCAGTTATATGAATTTATTGAGAAAATTTCAACTCAACTAGGGCAGAACTTGTCAACAGAAATATAGAATTGACCCCAATAGCAAACATGCATCTGTGCTGTTGGTGTTGGGTATTTCTTATTTGATGTTGGGCTTGAAGCAAATTGTCTTTAAGAGGCTAAAGAGGCTGATTGTCTGAGTAACTATTATTCAATCGAATGCAACTTTGCAATGTGAGGAGCTCAAATCAAGATTGTTTGCAGATCTCCACTGCTTAAGGTCTTGTAGTTTTTTTTTTTTTTTGGTCAAAGAGTGATTAGTTGTTTTGTACACATTCTGTCTAGGGTAGCCATCTAATCCATTTATTGGGGTTCACACTGCAAAACTGGTGGAGATGTGACTCTAAAGTGTGGTAACCATTTCAGTTCAATCGTCATTGAGCTGGTGACATGCATGCCTGAACTTAGTTATACCCACCATAAGTAAGTTAATTGGATGTTATCTTTCTGTGGCCTTTTAGAGAGTGGAAGCGCTAATGCTATGTGTGATGTGTCATCTTGGTTTTATGGATAACGAAGAGCAGGATTCTCGCTCTGGCGGATGATTCCCTCCATTTTATTCGCCATGCACCCAGTCGTATTTTCTTATCATGAAAAAAAACTGTATGCTTGCCCTTGGATACTAATTGGCTTTGTTCTTAGGGTGGAGAAAGATGCCATATCTATAGGAGCGTTTTTTTTTTTTTTTTTTTGGGGGGGGGTTAATGTGAAGGTTATACGAATTCATCTTAAGAATCCATAAAAAAAACTCATGAATTTTAACAGTGGGTGAAGCATTAGTGGGTAGGGCGTTTCTGTAGTACCCCCAATGATCTGTTGCAGTTGAAAACTTGCAATACAGAACCACATCCTACATGTAGACCTCTTCCATATTTTAACTCTGTGTCCTAAGTGAAGTCATAGGAAATCTTGGAGAAAACTAAAACATTGTTGAGATGAACTTCAGTTGCATATCTTAGAAATTCAAAGTGACCTCCTTAACACATCATAATCTGTTAGAATTGAGCATTGAGCACAAATTGGTGCTCCCCTTATTTCTGACTTGAAAATTATCCATAGTCTTTTTTGGTCTGAGGTTTGTCTTTGGAACTCTGCTACACCCATTTAATTTTGTATGAAAAGATTTGTGATTAACCATTGATAGAAAGCTTCATGAACTACCATATTGTCTATAGTAATGGGAAGCCCTTGAGTCGTCTGACATGGCACATGATACTACTCAACGATCGTGCCCATTACAAGTAGGATGCTAGTAGAATCCAACCTTGAGGAGTGTTTGGCTACTTAAGCATCATAGATAATGTGTTCCTTGAGCCAACGCGTCAAATTTATCCAACCGAAAATTACTTTTTTATGGCCTCAGCTGGTGTAGTAAGTTTATGAAAACACTTAATATTTGACAATTGTAGTTTTTATTGCATGCGAGATAAGGCTTGCAATGGGTTTTGAAATGCTTGTGGGCCAAACGGGAGATGATTCCTTGCTTAAATAGGGGCCAAGTAATGAGGCTTGGCTACTTCCGAAATTATCTCTACCAAAGTATCTTTTTAGATGTTGACCTTGTTGAGGACCCCCTAATAATCTCTTTATGTTCAAGTTTTTTCTTCTAAGTTTATCTTCTGACTAGTTTTTATTAGTCAGATTACATTTGTATTATTGAAGTATTGGAATTTACCGAAATTTTTGGAGGTTGTGCCTCTACCACAGGCATTTGTCCTAGGTTAATTATGCAATAAGTTGCAGCTTTTTCTTGGAGAACCATTTTGGTTACTTTCAACCTTCTAAGTAATGCAATATAGTTTATTGATAACTTGGTTAATCTAAATATATCATGAAACTATTCACATTCAATAGTCTGTTAGACAATTTGCATGCACACTTGATTATTTTATCATTCAATTGTAAATTGAAAATCTTGGACCTAAACTGGTTT